TTTTTATTAATTTAAATAAATTATAATATCAATTATTAATAAAATTAATTTTAAACTAACATTTCAGAAAAATATTTATTTACGATACTTTTAACTGAATTTTTTTAGTTTGCCTTTTTTTGGCAAAAATTCCCCAAAAACAAAATCTTAGAAAAACATTGCACTTATTTTTAAGTTAAAATTTTGTAAATTAATACATATATATATATTATTTAATCACCTGGTTCTCCAATTTGTTTGTATAGTTATTTAAATTTTCTTTCACTGATTCGAGCTCGACTTCTAGTTTCTTTTTGTCGTTTTCCAATCTTTTAACTCTATCAATATCTTCTGGTGAGGAATTTACATATACAAATTTGCTATCACTCTGATATTTTGGATCGATATTGACTTTTCGCTTTTCTATAATAAACAAAACAAACTTTTAGCTGATTTAGTTTTACAAATAGTTTTTAAGAAAGGAATCGTTTCAGAATCTGTTTTAAAAGGAAATAAATTAGAAAAAATGTTTAAAAAGAAATAGATCAAACAAAAATCATTTAAACCTGAATTTGCAAGTATTGATGCTACCGTTTGAGAAAAACCGGGCGACTTTAGATTTCTAACCACTTCATTTGTGTCACGTTGAAGTATGTAAGAAGAATTTAAGTCATCGGATGCCTGCTTACGAACAGCGGTAAGTGTTTGACCAGCATGCTGTAATTTTGATTTTAGTTCCTGAACTTCTAGTTCTAATTGCAGTTTTATTTCTTCTGTACTCCTTTTTGCCTTCATTAGCTAATAAAATTGGACTTGATCAGAAAAAGTTTTGCAACTTCCAGTAAAGCAAACGGAAGTTACAAAGTAGCAACAAAGCTTATAATTTGTAAATTAAATATTTTTTTCTTATGATGTTCATTACTTTATTAAAAATTTATAAAAATTGTTTAAACGACAGATAAAAACATTACAATAATAATAATGTTAATTTTCTTATATAACGTATAAATAAAAATGTTTAAATACTTCTCCAAAAAGTTGAAAAAGAAAACAATTTTTTTTAATTTTCTTCGTTTAGTGACTGATTAGTTTATCAAACCCATTTGCTATTATAAGTAACAATTGATAAAATATTGAAAAAAAAAAAGAGAGTAAAAAATATTAATAAGATTTATATTTTTTATACTTTTTTTTTTGTTGTTGCAAAATTGACTATTTTATTATAATCAGTTTTTTAAACTTGAAATATGAAATTGTTATCAAATGTTTTTCAAACTTGAAATATAAAATTTTTATTTCAAATGTTTTGAAAGATTTATTATAAGTTTGATTTTTTATTATTTTTAAATTATATTTTGTTTCTGAAATATGTTTTAAATTATTAACAAATATTCAAAAAAAGAATAATGATATATTATTAAAATAAATATATTTTTTATATGTACATTAATAATGAGTTGGTTCTTTTGAACATGTAAATAATGCGATTATTATTTAAATATGTGAATAACGGTGAAAGATTTTTGAAACATGTGAAATAAAGGATTTACCATTTTTATTTCTTTTTCTTTTTCATCTTTATAACGTACAAACTTGCTTTTTTCTTCTGATAATGAATCCCTCAATCCAGACGATATTTCTTTTTCTTTCATGAGTGCGTTTTCAAGTTTTTCTATTTGCCGTTCACGGTCTCTTATTTCTTTCTCTAACACTGAGTACCCATATTGTGAGTCCTTTAGTTTTTTTTTCAGATTTTCAATTTTATTTGTCAAAACACTTTGATTTGGATGAAGAAACGGAAGAGGCGTGTTAGGAGAGTTAACTGTTTGGTTTGGAGATTGAATGGGAATAAAAGTAAATTGAGTATCAGAGCTCTCAAGAATTCCATGGTACATTGGCTAAATGACAAAAAATTCGCTAATAAGAAGATATCAATAAAAAAGTCAATTATTAGAAAACATCAAACGACAATATAACGAACATTTATCAAAAACTTTTTCAAAACTTTAACAAGGTTTTTAAACTGAACTTTTAAAATTGACCAAATTGAAGTAAAAAGGACTTGAGATGTATAAAAAAAGTGTGAATAAAAATAACAAAGAATAAATATCAAATTAAACCTTAACTGGTATGCTATGTTGCTGAGGAGTATTCTTCATTTTTGCAAACTCATCTTGCATACTAAAAACTTTTCCTTCAAGTGACTTAAGAGATTTTTCTAAACGATTCTTCTCGCTCAATAAATTTTCGTATTTTTCGTGAGACTTTTGTTTAAAAAGATGTTATAAAATTAAATAAGTTTAAAATTTAAAAATTGTAATAAAAAGAAACAAAAACTTTATGCTAAATTTAGGTTTTTACTTTTAAATACAAAATTTGTTTTTAATTTTTTGTATATATAACCCTATAGGCAGTTTTTTTAATGAGCAACAAATTATAAAAGTAAGAATTAAATTCACTCACTTTATCTAATGCCAATTTAGCGGCATCTTCTATGTTTTTGCGGTCTTTGATATCCTAATATAAATTATAGAATTAAAATTCGCAAACTCCTTTTTGTTGTATATGAATCAATTCAATTCCCAATATGTAAAAAATTCTAAAATACATAGTAAAAAAATAAAAAATAAAAGAACAAGGTTTATAACAAGAGGTACAACATGCCACAATACGCTACGATGTAATTTTAATGTCTAGGAAAATTGTCCCCGTGGATTCAATTCTATTGTATAAAATAATTTTAAAACCGTTGTTGTTATAACTGTGATATAAAGTGTACACTACAAAATTTTATTAGTAAAACTATTTACCTTTTCTTGTTGCTGCAGATCCAACCTTAGCTTCTCCAATTTCTTTTTTTCAGCTTTAATTTCCTCTTCTTTCTTCAAAATATTTTGATCAGGAGTTTTTGATGGCTGTTGAACTTGTTTTTGTTGTTGTTGGTTTATTAACGTCATAATTAGTGACGAATAATCTGTTGAGGCAGGGTTTTTATCGCTAATTTTTTTTTCTTCGACTATTATTTTGAGGTCTTGTACAACATTTCTTAACCTATCAACTTCTTGTTGCCCCTCTTCTTTTAAATTTTTCAAAAGTTGATTGTTATCTTCTAAAGCTTTAGCTTTTAGTTTTAAGCCTTCGTTTTCTTGTGTCAATTCCTGTATTAAAATAGCATTTCTTTTGTTTTCGTTTTCCAGCACTTTTTCAAGTTTAAAGCGATCTTCTTCGGCTATTTTTCTATTTGAATCGTCAAATCTTTTCTGATGATCAAGCAATGATTCTTGTAATTGCTTAGTTCGTAACCTTCGTTCAATTTCTTTTTCCATGTCTTCCCGATTTCTGTTAAAGTCTTTCTCTATTCGAAGCTTTTCTTCATTGAGGCGTTTTTCAAGTTCTTCTTTTTGTTTTAAAAATTTTTCTTTTAGTTTTCCCTTTTCAATTTCAATTTTTTTTTCCATCGCCTCATTATCACTTTTATACTTGTCTTTTAGATTTTCTTTATATTCGTTCAGTAAAAAATCAAACTCATCTTTAAGGTTTGGAGGTAAATCCATTCGACTTTTAAAAGATAAAACCGAGTTATTGTTTGGCACTTCTTTTTCAACTATTCGTACTTCTGGGCATGGAATTGGTTGCTTTTTAAGACGATCAATTTCTTCTTTAAATCTTTCAATTTCTTCCTTTAACATGTTAACTAAAGCCTGTGTATTATTTTTTTCTAGTGTAGCTATGCGTTCTATTTCTTCTCTGTTTAAAGTTTCTTTTCGCAAAGTCATTTCTGAGATCTCGAGACGTCGCTGAAACTCTCTTTCTAAGGTAATCTGTAAATTAAAAGAGATGAATTAGTTTTTGGCCGAAAAATATATATATAAAGAGAAAGTAAAATATATTATATTAATATTTGATACTGGGTTTTTGAAAATCCCCTCAATGTTGCATAGGTGTTTTACATACGTAAAATTTTACATAATTTTTTTTTATTGGTATTGATTGTTTACTTTTTTTTTTTTTTTTTAATTTTTTCTAATTAATCAAACGCTGTTTTGAAGTATCTCAAATCAAGCAATGGTTACATATGTTTTGCATTGCCTTAATTAGTTCTTTCTATAAACAAAAATTCAATTAAATCAAAATTCAAATAAATATTCACAAATATATATTAAAAAAATAATATCATATAGACGTATACCTTTTCTTCTGCATATTTTCTTTCTAGTTCAAAACAAACTTTGTTGTGCTTAGTTTCTAACATTTCAATTTGTCTTTTGTAGGAAGCCTCGATTTCCGTTTTTGATGACTCGAATTTTTTTTCTAAGTTTATTGTTTCATTAATATGTTTTTCGTTTTTTCTTTTTTGTTCGTTCTTTACCTTTTCTTCGCATTCGCTTAATAGTTGCACTTTAATTTTTTCACTTTCATTTAAAAAAAACTGTTTTAAATTGTCCTTCTCTTTTTCAAACTCTTGTTCACGCAGTTTCATTTTTTCCTCAAACTGTTTGTTCATCAAAGCTTTCTCTTCTTCTGATATACGCGCAAGGTTTGCAATTTCATGAGCAAATGCAGCGTTCATTTCAGATCGCTCGCGTTCAAATTGATTTTCTAGATCTTCACGCTCTAGTCTCACCATCTCTTCCCACTCCGACTTTTTGTTCTTGAAACTCTGCAGGAGATTATTTACTCTTGTCGAGTACTCCTCTTCTAAAGTTTCTCTTTCTCTCATTATCATGTGGTATAACTCATCTTTTAGTAGCTTGCTTCTAATCCCATTACTTCCCAATAATCTTGTGTCTGAATGATTGCTAGTGTCATTTGAAATTTTTTCAAACTCGTCATCAAGCTCAAAAATTTTATTTAATTTACGTGAGCGCGTTCGGGAAACAACGCGTTCTGTGTTTGCCATGCTACGCTGCAACTTGTGCGATCTTTTTATTAAATTTGCTTAAAACTTCATTGTCGTTTCATGCTAATTTATTCTAAACAAAATTAAAAATATAACTTTTTTAATAGAGAGTAGAAATTTATTTGTTTGTTTTGTTAAAACAGCTTAAAATATAACGTTAACTATAAGGAAATATTAAATATATACTACATTATACAATAAATAAATATATACATATATAACATATATTTATAATACGTAAAAAATATATTACTTCAGTTAAAGAATAAACACCGTTAATACTTTTGAGAATCGAACTGGTAAGGAACATATTACACTTATTACGAGCGAATTACTCAGCTATAAATCTTTTAAATTTGAAAAAAAGTTCACATATTTCAGCTTTCTGCACGAGCTTGGTGTGACACTCATTCAGCATGATTTTTGTAGGCGTGTTTTAACTAGAGCTTAGTTTTCAGAAAGCAAGAAATTCCATTCAGTTTCGTTGTAAACTTTTGCAATATTTATTGCAAACTAAATTCATCAAAAATGTATTTCAATCTTATGATTTTAGAGCGGTGTTTTTAAAACTCTCGTCTGGCCATAGTTGGTAAACGATAAAAAAAGAATTTTTTTTTTTTTGAGATTCATCATTCTCAAGTTTATTGCCTCAAGTTTGTTGATAAATTTATTCTATAATCACAATAAAGCATTTCCATTTGTTCTTAATATCTAATTTTTTTTTTCAAAAACTAATTTAACTTTATCTAACATTTATTGTTGGACAGATGAATTTTGGTACTCCTAAAAATAAAAAAATCTCCTACAAAAGTTCCTTAAATTTCTACCTTTTTATTAACCTGAGCCCCTGTTTAGTACTTTTGAGATAACAGATAATGATAAAAATGCAAACTGGTGCGTCAAATAGTATTTTGTAATAAATGAATGCTAAAAACGATGATAAAAATGGACGTCAACATTTTAAAATAGAGTAATAACAAACGAGCACTCTGTCCACGTTTGCGGACAGAGTGCTCGTTTGTTATACTCTATTTTAAAAAAAGTATATGGCTCTATATACTTTTTTTATTTAGCAATGATCTGTTAAGCTTCTTCTTTTTATTGTGCTTGTCATTTTCTTACTCCTGATTCCATTCTCTACATCTATAAATCTTTTATTTGTCCTTGTATTGAATGCTGTAGCAATTTGATCCAACTCTTTTAGTCAAGGCCCAAAAATGCATTGTAAATTTAGTTGAATTTATCTGCCAAGCTTGAGTCTCTATCCCATGCTATTAATACTACTATAGTTACTAAGCAACTTATCATCATTTTTTTCATTTACCAAAACTCACTCTCGCATGACTTTACTTTAATTACATTTTTTTAATCAAAAACTTTTATTTATCTGGTTTTTACCCTGAACATCGATTTTTTTATTTCTTTATTTTTATTTAATCATTACCCAGTGGGAAGAAAGACGTCGAAAAAACGTCTTTAAAAGTCTTATTTACGATGTCTTTCAGACTTTTTTTTGATTGATTATGCAAATCTAAAAGACATTTTTTTTCGATATCGAAAAGACGTCTTTTTTTATCTTAATCGTGTCATAAAAAGATATAAAAAATGCGTCTTTAAGACGCCTTTTTTTAGTCGAATATGCAAATCTAAAAGACATCTTTTTTCGACATTGAAAGAACGTCTTTTTTTATCTTAATCTTGTCATAAAAAGGCATAAAAAATGCGCCTTTAAGACGCCTTTTTTTAGTCGAATATGCAAATTTAAAAGACATCTTTTTTCGACATCGAAAGGACGGTTTTTTTTAACTTAATCTTGTCATAAAAAGGCATAAAAAATGCGTCTTTAAGACACCTTTTTTTAGTCGAATATGCAAATCTAAAAGACATCTTTTTTCGACATCAAAAGGACGTCTTTTTTTATCTTAATCTTGTCATAAAAAAGCATAAAAAATGCGCCTTTAAGACGCCTTTTTTTAGTCGAGTATGCAAATTCTATTAAAAAAGGCCTCTTAAAGGCGTCGAGTCGGAACGACTTTTTTGCTATACTTATTAGTATACTATAGTATCCTATACACCATAGTATTCCTACTTTTCTTATATGAAAAGCTATTTTTTTTCAAATGAAAATGATAATAGCTCTTCATACAAAGTATGACAAAAAGCTTTTTTCGATGCCGAGAAAAAAAACTCTTTTAGATGTCAATATAAAAGAGGAAGAATTTTCTACATCTTTTATATGTTTAAATATAGGAGAATAATTTATAAATAAAACAATAGTATTGTTCAACAGAATATTTTTTTATCTTTCTCTTTCTTTTCTGTTTCTTGAGCGAGCTCTGTTTCTTGGCGTTGTTGAATAAAATTAACAATTTCACGTCGAGAAATCCTTTCATACGAGCAGGTTACGACTTCTAGCTGGTTACCACTTCTAAAAAACAAGTGAACATAAAAAACAGCCTATTGCTTAAATGTAATACAAAAAAAGCAAACGAAACTTGATTTGCTGAGTGGAGCACATTATACTTACCGACTATTAATTCAAAAAGGGCTGATCCTTTTAATCCACTCATGTTTCCAGCGTGGTCCCTTCTTTTTGAACCCACTAGATTAGATTGGGACAGGATTCGAAAAGTAAACAGTCTAAAAATATATAAAAATGAGTGTGCTAAATAAATTTACAACCATCAAAATGACTGTACAACGATGTATTTTATTATGTAGTACTTAAATCAAGCTAAACATTTGCACCTCTCAGATTTGCTATGAAAACCAAGTTATTGAAAACAGATATTGATATTTTTCTGTCTTCTATAACATGATTTTTTAATTGAGTTTCGCTGAAATTAAGTGTTGTAGACTTAAAAATCCGTTATTGACTAAAGAATATCAAAACAAAAAGATAATTCAGCTAATACACCTTGAGAGTTGTTATTCATTTAAACTAGAAAAAAGTATTAGTCAAAGCTCTATTTTAGCCTGAAATAAGGATGCTTTACTTAACAACATAAAATCATAAAAACTGGCGATATCATTAGCAACACAGATGAAATACACATAAAAAAAATGAAGACTAGAAATCTGCAATGATATTTAGATTTAAGAAAGTGTACCTTTCTAGTATCATTTTTACTTGGTTTTTTGTATCCAAACCAAAAGTTTTGCGAACATTTCTAAAGATAAATCTGTTGTCATTGTGTGTATTTTTATAATTGCTTAATTAATGACAGACAACAGTTAATAAGGAAATAACATATTTAACATAAAAGTTGAAAAGCCAATCTTTTGTATAAACAATTTCATCATTCAACTAAATAAAAACAACAAAATTATTCAGATTATTTAAAAATATATAAAAAAAATTGCAAGCCTACTGAATGCTTCTTTTTTCTATCGTTTGTTTCACTGGCACTTGAACAAGTAAATATAGAGAGAAATTGTTTACACGTTTTATTTTTCGTCTGAAAACAAATATTTAATTTAATATGTAGTAAACAACGTTCTTCAAGCACAATACATTAAAAAATTAGTCTAAAAATAAATAGTCAAACTTTTTTAAACCTGCCACTAACTTAATTTAGACTATATCATATCAATACCATCTTACTGGCACCACGCCATCCACTTTTGCTTCTTCCAATTAACATTTTTTAGCTAAGCAGCTGCAATTGTATATTTATTTCAGTATATTTATATATATATTTTATATATATATATATATATATATATATATATATATATATATATATATATATATATATATATATATATATATATATATATATATATATATATATATATATATATATATATATATATATATATATATATATACTATAATACATATATGCATTTATATTATGTATATTTTACGTAATATATTAATTTATTATATAAATTATTAAATAAACCCGCTTGCCGAAAAAAAGTTAATTTTTAATTAAATTTCCTATGCAAAAACGTTTCGCATAAAAGTTATATAAAAGTATTTTGTAAACAAAAAACGGGCCAATCAGAACGTAACAAAGATATCGTAATTACGATACTGTGGGTTAAAACTCATTTTTGTTAGGTTCTATTGGCAATAACTATTTTTAATTTTCTTAAGCAAATAATGATTTCCTTATTAACAACCGATTGAAGTCTTTTCGACCTCTTTTCTGAAGACGCCTTTTTAAAAGACGTCTTTCCACGTTTTTATTTTGGCTGGTTATAAAAAGACATAATAAGTCATAAAAAAGACGCCTTTAATTCGTCAAAAGATGTCTTTTTTCCCACTGGGTATTATTATTATTATTATTCTGTTGCTCTTATCATTTTTTATATTTTTGATTTTCTTTGCTACTTGCTACTTTTTTCTGTCTTTACGAACGTTACTTAGTCTTTACTGAAAACCTTGTTGGGAGTGAGTGTTTTTTTATAAACGGAGTTTTTATTTGTTGACTAATAACTTTTCTATAAATTTATTTATTTCAAAAAAATATTTTTCAATAATTGTATTCATTGTATTTGAGTTTCAGATCTATTTTTGATTACTTTTCAAAAAAGGACGAGATTTAAAGATGCTTACCGACAAATAAAATTCAAAAATGATTTAATTTTAAAATAATAAATACAAAAACATTTCACTTCATAGAAACTCTAAATTTTTAGATCAGATTCTGTTAGTGATAAATCAGTATTTATGGTAGCGGTCAACGTCTGTTTATTAGGTATATTTATAGCAGCGGTCAACGTAGGTCAATTAGGTCCTATCTTAAAGATTACTATGTTTAAAACGTAATCATTCAAAGTAAGAGATCATTATTTTGACAGATAGTCATATGTAAATAGAAACTCCAAACTTATTCCTAATAATATACATATATATATATATATATATATATATATATATATATATATATATATATATATATATATATATATATATATATATATATATATATATATATATATATATATATATATATAATATATATATATATATATTGTATATATATATATATATATATATATATATATATATATATATATATATATATATATATATATATATATATATATATATATATATATATATATATATCATCTTTACTGTGACTTAAAAAAAAACAGTTATTGAAGTTATCCTAGTAGACAGAGAAGAACTCTGAAGAACAAGCATTTCATCTCTTGAATTAAATTTTTTGAAAAAAGACACCATGAACCCAACTGTTCTATTGTTATTACCAGCGACATGAGTTCTTGTTCTAAAAATTCCACAAGATAAAAAGATCCTTTGGTTCTTACAGTTTCAAAGTGTTGCCACTCATCACGAATAATCTATTAGTTGATTGAAAATCAGTTAAATATTTATTTATTTACACTTTGCCGATAAAAAAAAATTTACAGTCGTAACTTATAAAAAAAATAATTACATGACCGGGGCTAGAAGAAGACAAATTTAGTCTTATCATTAAGCCCCAAAAATAATTATCCAGTTAATTATTCATGCAAGTCTTTTTTTGTCTTTTAAAGATTTTGTTAAGGTTTTAGATTTATTTAGTTGAAGTTTATGAAGGCTTTGAGTTTATTATAATTTCAGTTTATTATTTCAGTTTATAATTTCACTATATAATTTCAGTATATAATTTCAGTTTATAATTTCAGTTTAAAATTTCAGTTTATAGTTTCAGTTTATAATTACAGTTTACGGTTTTAAGAACCATTGTCTGAGAAATATAGGCAAAATAAACAAATTCTAGAAGTGATGTCTTCAAATTGTCTTTTTTTCAGATATTTTGTAAAAAACAATGAAAGTAGACCACTGGTTTTGTAGGGCACCAAGACATACATTGATTATATGGAGCAAAATTTATGAGCATACAAGGACCTGGGAAGGAGTGACCTGCCAAAAATCACTTTTTGCATTCAACGCGCCTTGAGAAATTATCCAAAACAACGGTGACCTTTGGTCAGCATAAACAGTATAAGTTATTTAATTTTCTTAAACTTCCAATATCTGAAAAAAAAATTCATGTGCTCGGATGATTTAAAGCCTACATAAAACCTAAAAGTTATTTCGCCAAGTTTTTATCAAAAAAATACCCTAGAAACGGTATAGATATACTTAGAAACAGCTACTTCATAGCTTTAATAATTAATACTGTAATTAAAAGTTTTGGTGTAATACATTTTCATAACGGAACTGTACAAGAGCACTTGACAAAAATTACATTGTAAACATTTTTAATTTAGCAAAGTACTTAATAAAGGTTGAAGCGATGCAATGGCAACAGACTTGTTAAATGTTAATTTGCTCTCCCTAATGTTCCTTTTTATGAAATGCAGTAAAAACTTCTAAATGTCATGATTGATATCTTATTATGTCAAGCTTTAATTCGACTTCTTATTTTCAAACAGTCATTTTTTAAATATGTTGTTGTATGATGTTTTGTATTCGTTTCAAAATAGCATTCGTTTCAAAATAGCATAAATTTTACATTTAAATGTTATAATAAGTACTCACTGAGAAATAATGATTTGTTAAATGAACCATTTTGATATAATACACTTTTATAACGGAATCGTACATGAGCACTTGATAAAATCTAGTTTTTTAACTTTGCCAATGAAAGAAAGAACCATTAAACTTTATATCAACGTTTTTTCCAGTTAAAATTGATGAGAAATATAGTTTTTCAAGAATTATAAACAAACACAAAATTTTAAGAAGTTTATTAATAGTCAATCCTCTAACAACATCAAGTGATGAATATTGAAGGATATTTTTTTTAGTTGGTCACTTGAAGCAGTTCTTTCCAGGTACAACAGAATATTCCATACAAGAAACATATATGTCATCATCATTGACGTAATGGTTGAGGTAAAGACAAAGTAACGTCTATTCATTGCTGCTTCCTAAATATTCCTTGAAATTAATTAATGTGTTAATAAACCAATAATTTTGTATTTCAATGCAATAGATCCTCAATACATAAAAATGAATAACGAACGAGTTTGTTGAGTTGTCACATATTCGCTTGGTTTTAATATTGTCCTCAGCTGCTGGTAAACTTGCTTTTTTGGAAATTAATGGTGCAGTATAACCTTTGCATTTTGAACTATAGGATTTAACAATTTAAACCGAAAAATGGAATGTTACATTAGTATAATTCAATTTTTTACCTTTATCAATTCGGAAGTATCTCCATATTGCCATGTAACCAGAGAAAAACTGAAAAGAATGATGACTGTTTATGTTGAAAATCGGATTTGGTCCTGATAAAGTAGAAGCTTTGGAGTCTATTGGAACTTCAGCAACATGAGCATTTTGAATTTCTTTGCCATTATGAAGAGCCTCATAAATATCTTCTCCAATCAAAATTTTTTTTCAAGTATCAACAAAACTCCTTATGACACATTTCACTCCTGCTGATTTTCTGTCACAATGATCTTTTCCAAGTGACGGCTTAATGTAATCATACCTTTTAAGAGAGAATTGCTATGCTTTGCAAACCTTGTAAATGGCTTCTAAGTAGAAGTTGCCATGATGAGATGATGCGTTATCTGACTTAGCATAAGATTTTTTTAAACAAAGAAAATCATTTCTAACTTTGGCCAAAACAATATCAGCAAGACAGAG